GTGGTATCCAGTTTAATTTTGAGTCAAATGTAATCCCTAAGACTTTTGCTGATGTTTCTACCTGTAAGAGAGTCTCGTCTAGATATAACTGTGGTATTGAATTGCTTGTTTTGTACGATTTTTTAAATAATGTGACGTGTGTTTTGTGCACATTTATTTTAATTCTTCATTTATTGCAATACAATTCTATTTCATGTAGTAGTGGTTGTATATTGTATGTTGCTGTTGTTGGGTTTGGGGCACTCTTCCAGATTGCAACATCATCTGCGAACTGTGAGCAAAAAGTATGGTTTTGGTCTTTGAGAGGCATGTCGCAGACATACATGATAAACAGTGTAGGGCTAAGTACTCCTCCTTGAGGACCACCCGCCTTCTGAGGCAGCACCCGAACTAGGTGCCCTCAACATTCACTTTTATGATCCTATCGTCCAAGAAGTTAGAAACCCAGCGAATAATTTTTATGGGGAGTCCCAATTTGGACAGTTTGTATCTGAGTCCGTTGTGCCATACTTTGTCGAATGATTTTTCAACATCTAGGAAGCATGCAACTGTACATTGTTTTTTAATAAAGCCATGTATTATTTCTTCCCTTAATCTTATGAGATGATCTGTTGTTTGTCTTGCTTTTCGAAACCCATTTTGTATTTCCGGGAGTATTGATTTAGTTTCAAGGTAACTTATGAGTCAACTATTTATGATTTTTTTTCAAGTAATTTTCATAGATTGCTTGTTAGACTTATGGACTTGTAATTTTCAGGGCTATTCGCTCATTTTCCTTCCTTCTGGAACAGAACGTTGGCCTGTTTCCAAGCGGTTAGTATGTACCTTGTTTTTAGAGATAAGATTTATAAAGATGCGAGATGTCTAGTAATCTCAGAGGGCCTTTCTTGAGTAATATCTTTTGAATTTTGTCTTGTCCTGGTGCTTTATTTTTCAAAAGTTTTATGTTTTCTTGTACTTCTGTTACTTTTATGGGTCTGATAAGTTGTTTTGTTGCGTAGGCGTATTCCGCTTCTGTTGTTGTGTTATTGTGTTGAGTGTCCTTAGTGAAATGTGGTGTATATATATATATATATACTACGTTTGGTTGTGATATAATTATTTACTATGTTCACGACGTGGTTGTTCATGTTTGAGTCGTCTGGTGTTTGGAATGTTTTTTTTCAGTTGTTTTTTAAAGGCGTGTGCTTTCTGTTTATTCGTGTATGTCAGTTTATTATTATGTTTAAATGTAGGGTAGGTGGTGAAAGTTGTTTTCTTTGACTTTGTAACTTTTTTTTATATGGGACCAGAAATCTATCGGATCTGTTTTTGACTTTATCTGTGTATAGAAGGTGTCCATTTTTGTGATTTTAGTAGCTTAATGTCGTTTCTAATTTTGTTTCTGGGCGTAATTATTTGCGTTTTTGCTTGTGATTCACCGGTTGTCATATATTATCTTCTTAATCTTCTTCGTTCCTTTATTTTATTGATGTGCTCGACTCACAAACTACTGACCTCGGGTTCGAATTCTCGCCACTGAAGGTGCTCGACTTTTTATTCGCGGGGGTATTATAATGAAACAGTCGTTCCCGTTTTGCACTAGCTGTCCCTAATTTAGTAACGATAGACCAGAGGGAAGGTAACTAGTCAACACCACTCACTGCTAACTCTTGGGCTACTCTTTTATAAACAAACCAACCAACCAAGGGACTTTGTTACGTAATTATACTTTTATTTGTAACAGAGTAAGTACAAAAATTTAGATATATATGTATTGTAGTAATATAAATACATGTGCACGCACTGTACATGTGCGTATTTATGAGCTTTTCGTTTTCATATATTTTTCAATTGGAATATTTCTCTTTCAATCATAATATGACCTACGTATTGATAACATTACTTATATAAACAAGATTACGACAGTTATGATAAA